GCTTGCTTCCCATGCAAAATGCTCAGTGACCTGGAACATAGGAATTTATAGAGGTAGGCCAACCCTTCCCTACTTGCCTTAAAATCTAACAATCTACTCAGTGTGATTCTTCTTCTCCATGAGAAAAAGATAGGTAACACGGCTTGGACTCTAGTTGGAATAGATTAAAAGTTATTGTCACTTCTCTTTCCAGATTACTTCTATTTTTCTCCATCCAAATGAGAAAATGGAAGAGTCAAGTTAAAATGCACTACGAAAGCCCTGATAATTCTGCCCATGAGCTAGAAATCACACCTGTTTTCAGAGCCTTTCCAGTCATATCCCCAGGTCCGCTCTCTTTTCTGGGTGACATAAATGACATTTGGTTTCTGCAATCTTATGGGAAATACCCAACGAATGCAGGCACTCAGATTTGGCTTTGTTACATTAGAAATACTGCTGAATTTAGAGTGTAGACCCGAGTTTAAATCTAGGCGCTTCTGCTTTCCTACCTTTGTGACCCAGAGCAAGGCAGTTCATTTTTCTAGGCCTCAGTTTCCTCTGCAAAATAAGCAGGTTGGACTTAAATGACTTCCAACATCCCTTTTAGCTCTGACTCTGATCCCGTATGGTGTTTAGATTTAGCATTTTGGAACTGGCTGAGGACAGAAATTAGAGATCCAACTTTCATGACCACTCCTTAAGAATTATATGTTTAAAACAAAATGTTCTTTAAAAAATGCTCAGTGTACATTTGATTTTGGAAAAGCGGTCTTGAAATATCATTTTTTTCTTTGCCTTTGCATTTCCAAATATTCTATTAAGAACACACTTATGACACCAGTAGGAGCTTAGATCGAAGAGAGAACGGGTTACTAAATGCTTACTGTGTGCTAGGCACTGTGCTAAGTACCAGCGATATGGAAACAATAAGGTCCTTTCATTTCTAATAAAGGAAGACAAAACATGAAGGAGAGCTGGAGAGGGTAAAAGGAAGGAGGGTAAGTACTGTGAGGGCCAGGCAGCCTGTGCAGAGGTGGAGCCAGCAAACATTTTAAAAAATCACCTCGAGTGATTTCTGGTGTATTATTTCTCCTTTGATTTTTATTTTGTTCTAAACTCACAAACCTAGCAACTCTTAAAAGTTTTCTTTGGCTAACTTCTTTCTTTTTCCCTCAAAATCATCTTTTGTTCATGGCATCAAGGTTTAGATGCTATGCAGATAATTATAGTGTAAATAATAAGAGATTTTTCATAGCCTAGTTTTTAAGAATTGGAAGGAAGAGAAAATAGAAGCACAGTCTGGTAGTTGACAATTATTGATAGGATGTTTGAGGTTCTTAGGAGCATTTTAGGGAAGTCTAAAAGCTTCTAGGCATTACAGGAACCCAAAGGGAAAAGATAGTCCATCTTCCAAGATAGTAATCATTACCAAAAGCTACCCTTTCCCCAAGGACATGCTAGCTGAAGTCACAGTAACTGCCCTATTTCTAAACCAGTAAATATTGATTTGAGAGACACTTCTGCCCCATTCCTTCTAGGCCTTTTTGTGAGGACCTAGAATTCTAGCAGATTCACATTTCAGTTCTTGGAGTGACTGGAAACATCCTTCCCTAGGTGAGGTTTTTTTGTTTTGTTTTGTTTTTCCCTTGCTTATTCATGGTTCACCAAAGTCCTACTCTCCTTTGGCTCTTTATGGCATGGAGGTGAGCCCAGGGGAGGGGAACCTGCTGTCTCCAGGCCGCATGTGGCCTTCTAGGTCCTTAAGCGTGGCCTTTTGACCCAGTCCAGGTTTTACAGAACAAATCCTTTTATTAAGGGGATTTGTTCTGTGAAGTTCAAAACAATTATAGTCTTATTGATCTAGTATTGTCTTTATTTTTTAATAAAGGTTGCAGGAACCTTTCTTTTAGCCATAGATTTAGAAGATGTCGTTAACAGAATTCTTTTGTGTTGTAGCACATACTGTAAGCATCCCTAAGATTTAAAACATTTTTCCCCTCTCAGTTTGGTTTTGTACTTTTTCAAAGTAGAGATTTTTTAGTGCTGCGATTGACTGGATTGTAAATTAAAAGAATAATTATTAGTCTTTCAAAAAAAAAAAAACCACTATAAAAATAATGGGCTAGCCTCAGTCTAATACTTGGATACCTTTAACTCCAGAGGGACCAGGCATATCAGTTGATGGAAAAATTTTATTGTAATTTTACTTTGAGGTAAACATTTTCATCCTATTTATTTTCTTTACTATATGGATTTTTAAAATGCATTGCATTAAAGCTTGGGCCTCGGCGGGGGGGGGGGGATTCTTAAATTCCACTCCTTCTAGTATTAATTCTTTAATAGCCAGCATTTCCAATGTGAATGTTTTTTTTAGTATCCTTTGTCGTTAGTACACGGTCTTGTCATACTTATGCCTGTTGTTTTTCTGTAGATAAAATTCATTCTTTCCTTATTTACAAATGAAAACTAACTGGTTGCTTATCTTTTTTTGTTTTTTTTTTTCTAAACATTCCTTAGCAGTGAGTGCACCAGACAGTGTGCAGTAGTGGAAAACCTTTGAACTGGTCTGGGCTCTGCTGTTTGCTTTGTTGACCTTGGGCAAGTCACTTGAACCCTTTAGACTTCTGAAGATTAAATGAGATATATATATAAGAGTATGCGTACAGGCGAGTGCATGTGTATGTGTGTACATATCACACACATGTACATGCTATATAGCTATTATGCTTAAAGTTGGCCTGCCTTCCCCCCTTCCTGCATTCCTCCCAAAGTTGAACCGTGACCAGGATTGGTTTGGTTTTTAGTATTTTTCATTCCTCTTCCCTTCCCCCTCCCCCAACTCTTTTCTAGAGAATAGCTATAGAACAGTTGGGAGAGTATTTCATTTGCTTGTTGAGGCCTAGCTTTCGTTAGTTTCTTTAGAAATCACAGGATTAAAAGTTATATATTAATTGTTCATTCCATTTTTTTTTTTAGTCTTTTCCTTTACAGCTATGTGATGCCCAAGATTAAAATCCTATGGATTCTAACTGATTAGCAAATAAATATATACAGATAAGATCACTTGCTGCCTAGAAAGGGTCCCACCTTAAATGATCCCTGGCTTGGGATCTTGACTTATCTGCCACTTTGCTCCAAATTTTCCCAGGCTTGGAGAACCTGTCCACCTACCAAACTGGAATGGCTTCTGTCTCAGAAAGGTTCATTGAAACATTCAGGAATCTGTTATTTGCCTTCATTATGGTAACCTCCTCAGTGGAGACAGATAAGAGTTTGTTAAATGTTGAAATACTGGGTTTCAGTAGCTTTCCTGGATATCAGAACAGCTGATCACTTGTTGAGTCTTAAAATATCTCAGTTCCAACTGTCAAAGCATAATCAAAGTCATCTTTTCCTCTGCAAGGCCTTCACCTTGTGGATGAGGGTCAAGATTTGTCACCCACCTGCGCAATTGGTCGTACTTATGCTGCTCTGTGAGGCATATTTTTATACAAACTCAATGTCATTTCTGTCAGTCAACTTAAGTGTATTGGTGGCCATTTTCTTCTACTTTCATAAAGTTAGGGCTTTGCATACGTTGGCTAGAGCATGATATTAGGTATATGTACACACATAGTAATATATAAATTTATTGTTAAAACAGCAACATCAATAATAAGAGTGATGATGATGATAGTAATGACCCCATGACTTTTTTTTTACCCCAAAGTGAGTCTGCCCATCTATTTGTTTATTTGTTTGTTTACTAACCTGGATGGAAATCCTACTAGAGTGGTGGGTTATTCCTTTTAAAGTTTTAGAAATTAGCTAGAATAGAGACATTTTAGAGTCAAATTGAAAAACAAAAGGCTTTTTTCATTTAATTCTGTCCTGTTGAGCAAAAATAAAGGGTGAGTGAGTTTGAGAGCCAGGACTGAGAAACCAAGGAATGACTAAGTTGGTTGGTCAGGTGGCAAATGTGCTACCAGAACGTTGACTGATTTCTGTTTGTTGAAGCTGTTCAGGTGGGGTGGATCAGATTTAGGATTAGCACAGTATAGTTGTGACGACAGGAAGTTGTTTCTTACCCATTTTATGAAGTTGACAGATGTGGATACAGGAAAGCCCGTGTGGTCTAGTGGGTACAAAGCCAACCTCGGGGTTAGGGAGGTCTCGGTTTAAGTCGGGCCTTAGACAAATCTGGGATAGGTGACGTGAGACGAGTCATTTAACCTTGAAGTGTGCTCTGCAGCACTCCAGGGCTCTGTAGTCAGTCGCCAAGTATGTGTCTCTTTGCATTAGTAGCAGGAAATTCTACACCAATAAAATCACAAACCCAGTGCAAAAAAAAAATGTACTTGGAGACATCTGCAAAATCATCTGCCTACATTATCCAGTTTTCCTTTTTAATTACAAATTTAGTTGTCATTTGTGCTAATAAATGTTCAACTGAAGAGTTCTTAGAAGCTTAATTACAAATGGCATTGGGTGTTTTTGGTTGGACTTTTTCTCCCCCTTCTCATTGCTTGGAGACATGAAATATGATGTTCCAAAGTTTACTTGTAGTGTTTATATTTCTAAATGTAATGATTGGCCAGGTGTGCTGGTGCACGCCTGGATGTAATCCTTTCTCTAGGAAGCTAAAATTGAGGGAATCACTTGAACTTGGGAGTGGTGAGCTTCTGACTTCCTTAAGTCTGACAGTAGTGTCGTGGGGGTAGGGGAGAAGGTTCACCAGGTCCCTTTAGAAGGGGCCAGCCAGCCCAGGGCCTAATCAGAACAAGTCAAAACTTCTAGACGGATCAGTAATGAAATCAGATCTATGAGTAGTCCTGATACCTCTAGCCTAGTGAAGTAGGGAGACCCAGTTTCAAAATAAGTAAATAAAAGAAAAGTAATGATTGGTGTCACCAAATTATTCATTTCAATATTAGATATTTTCCCCCATTTCATCTTTTGAATCTTTTGTATTGAAGTTTGCAAGTTGTATACTTGAACAAAATTTCCTAAAATGCGTTACTCTTTTTTGTTTACAATAGGAAACATCTAGGACTGTTTCAAGTAGATATAAAAGGTAAGAAGCTTTTCTTATCGTGTAATACAGAACTATATATGTTATATATGTATGTATGTTTATATGTTGGCATCAATACATGTCCAATACCATGTTTTACTTATTTGACTGCTATCTCTATGTTACGCTGTGTTAACATGTCTGCTTTTCTTATTAAGCCTTCTCCCTCTTCCCATACCCCATTCCTGGGTGTATATTGAGATACAACGCATTTGCATGTAGGTCAACTCTAAGAAAAACTCGCATTTATAGAACGTTTTAATGTTTATAGATGTACTGCTCTGGCCTAATAACCTTGTCTCCAGCCAACCTGTTTCAGTGTGAATTGGAGGAATCAAAGCTGGTCATTTCCAGGATGGATAACAACCTTCCTTCATAGGAGGTATCACTCAGGACCAAAGTAGCTGCAGGGTCCAGGACATATGCATTCACTTTGTATGTCTTTCAGTGGAATTATATCCATTTATTTTGTTCTTACAGCTCTTCATATGCTTCACAAAAAAATAGATTCTATTAGCCTTTGTCTTATGAGGAAGAAGACGGTGAAATAGTCATTTACGCCTATGACCTCCCAAGGTTGTTGTACTTTCTGAGAAGTTACATGAAAGCATTTTATAACTACAAAGTTCTATATAAATGTGAATTGTTAGGATTCCTAGTAGTAAAAGAGAACCAAGATAATTAAACTCAACAAACATTTACCAAGTACCTACCATATGGAAGTCATTGTGCTCAGTTGGAGCACGGGGTGGGGGAAGAGTTTACTGAGATGAATATTCTGGCCTTTTACTGGCCTGTAGTCCAGTCGGAAAGATAAGGCATGTAAAGAGGTAACTTTAAAACTGTCATCTGTCAAGGATCTGTTTTTTCCCTGGTTCCCCTCTTTGCGGATGCAAACGATAACCCCTTCACAACTTAGATGGTCTTCAAGGGTTCCTGTGGCTGAAAATTCATCATCCTGCCACCAGAGTGGTTCAGAGCCTCTCCAAACTTATCGGGACTAGTCCTTTCAGGACCAGTACTCAGTCTGTTTACCAGGCTGGTGTTACAGTCTTTGCAACATGGTAGAACCTGCCAGAGCACCTTCATAACACACACAGCCTTTGACTCCCACCATGATTACTTCTAAGCCACAATAGGGCAGGGCATACGAATAAGACCTGAGTAGAAATTTAAACTGAAGTTTCAATTTAAAAAGAAAAGGAAAGAAAGTGACTGCCATGATACAAAATATGGCTCCATTTATATAGTGCTTTAAGGCTTATAAAATGCTCGACATAATAAGTTGACTTCAGTAGAAATTGAAAACTCTAAGGTTACGTTAAAAAAATCCTCCCATAATGCCCAAATCATAATGATGTATAACCATATAGCGCTTTAAAATTTGCAAACAGTTTTACATACATTATTTTATTTGGCCCTTCTAATAATAATCTTGTAGTTGCTTTTTATCAACCCTGTTTTATACATGAGGAAACAGAAGCCCAGAGAGATCAAGTGTCTTGCCTAGGGTGGTAACCAGTAAGTTTATTCAGGACACATGGGAGAGAGAAATAGACGAAATGCTCTGGTCACTTAATCATTCCAGTCATTATAGTTATTTGCTTCGGGAAAGAAAAAGTTTAGATATCTCAAAATAATTGAGAATTCATTATAGTGACATTAGCAGTTATTTTAAACTACCATATTTGGGTTTAAGCTACCAAATTCAAACACTTTTTTTTTTAAAAATTAAATATCATTTATGATTAATTGACTTCTTTATTTCTTCTCTCCACAAACAGTTTTTCCATTGATATTATGCTTCTCAAATTGAGAAAATTTAACTGTGCCACTTTTTATACTTTGTTTTCTGAGCAGTTTTAATTTGTTTTTTTTTTAAATTCTTGTCATTTTGTGAGTTGAACATAAAGTTGGTCATGTATATTCATTTTTTGTTTTCTCCACCTTCAATTTTTCCTCTCCTTTATATCCTTTTGCTAATTAAAAAAAAATAGTTTTCCCCCACTGATTATGAAAGTGAGTTTGAGTAGCAGTAGCCTTAGTACTAATAATGTTAACAATGAGGGGGAAAAAAACTATGTCCTTTTAGTTTCAATGATTATCTATCTTTTAAGTACTAGGAACTGTTAACTTATTGAAATTTCTTTCTTTGCCATATTTTAACAAGTTGTGAAGGTGACTTGGGAAGAGATGTTTATTGAAAAGGGTGTCAGGTAAGACCCGAGGAATAAGCTAAAGGATAAAAGGTACAAGAGGCAAACAAAATTAAGTGACTTGCCCAGGGTCACGTTGCTAATAAGTATCTGAGGCCAGATTTTAACTCTAGAAGATGAGTCTTCCTGACTCCATGCCCAGGGCTCTATTGACTGTGCCACCTAGCCTGGCAAATCATACCAGTCTACAAAGCTTGACTGCATGCTGGTCACCTGAGGAATCAGGGAAGATGATTACTAGGAGGTGGCTACCTTTTCATGGAGGTGTCGCATTCTGATCCAGTGGCAAAGAAGCCCCAGTGTGCTTTAATGACATATAGGAACTGTTCCTGGGATCAGTAGAACTTAGCTCTGGCCATAATGTACTAGCTGTGTGACTGTGTTCAAGTAACTTGACCTCTCTGTTAAATAAAGTGTTTAAGCCTCAGTAAAATGACAGTAATCATACTTGGCTGCCAGTGTCACAGGATTCGGAGGAAAGTGTTTTGTCAATCTTAAGGTGCTTCAGAAATGTGCGCCGCTATGGCTTCTGAAGTATTAACCGAAGATTTTAGACAAATCAAGGCTTCTTTGTGAACATCATAGTGGTTCATCGAAAGCAGTGGTTCCCAAAGGGGGTGCCATGTCATCATCGTGCCATGAATTGTGCTAGATGAACTGCGTGATATTGGATGTTGGCCTGTTTGAAATAAAGGAAAATTTGTAAACAATTTTGCTTAATTAGCTGGGGAATGTGGGGATATGTTGTGTGTGTGTGCATACACACACACACACACACACACACACACGTAATGTCAGATCTTATCAACACGGTTAGTTATACTGATTTGTTCTCCACCCCTCCCTTCTTTGTTCTTTGTCATGAAAAAATGATTCTCTGGGATAAGCAAGAAGAAGGGCTATATTACACGATATCTAGGTGATGTAAAAAACAAAGATATCAATAAAATATTAAAAAACCCTCATCTTATATTTATTTTAGTTATCTAAAACATGTAGTAGGGTACTATAATACTTGGAAAATCAAACATGTTTATTACATCATCTATCTTGAAAGCATGTCAAACTTGTAAGAACAACCAAATATAGCAAATTTTTTGGAAGGGAAACTGAGCATTCATGAATTTCCCAAGTGTCTTAGAGTGAACATTGCCAACCTAAATGGCAGGAAGGGCTATGATTCCTCATAGCAAAGGCTACTGGGTAGTGAGCAAAAAACAAAAAACAACCACTGATGTAAATATTCCTAGTTGTGGTACGTGATTAAGATTGATACAAAGTTTGACCATCAGATGCTCCTCCCATATTCTTCAGGATTTTACATTCCACCATCCCCCCCCCAACCTTCAATGACTTGTAAAAGGTTTGAGATATTTGACATTGTAAGTTTTAAAAAATGTGTAATTTTCCTAACTGAATGGTTACTTAACTATGTTTATAATACTTAGGATTAAAAAAAAGGCAAAGCTTTTCTCAATATTTGAATTTGGAATTAAGCCTACAATTTATCTTTGTGGTCTAAGTACATCTGGTTCAGCACAGATGCAAAAACAAACACTACCTCTAAAAAAAACCAAAAACAAGCAAAGGAACAACAGGTAAAGTCAAAAATTCAGGTTTACTTTATATCATAACCAGTAGTTTCCTTGGTTTTCCACAATTAAATTTTTTTTTTATTGTGTGGCAAGTACGTTGCAGTAAATAAAAGCAACTGTGTTAAAGTTTCTCTATTTGGGAAGTAAAAAAATCTAGAGACAGCTTACTATAATGAGTATCTGGAGTCAGGAGACCAGGATTTGAAGCTTCGCTGTGCGGTTTACTGCATGTGTGACCTTTCCTTCTCTGGGCCTCAGTTTCTTATCTGTAACATTATGGGTTGTACTTGATGACTTTTTGAGGTTCCTACCCCACTACCAAGTTCTCTGACCTCTCAGGGCAGCATTTCAAGATCATCTCCTCCCACTTTCAGGTTTTGTGATACTGCTCTCTTTACCTGTCTGGCCATTCTTTGTCAGTCTCCTTTGCTGGGTCATCATTGATACCATTCCCTTGTCCCCCACACCTTACAGATCTTTAAGGGAAAAAAAGAACTTTTAAATTTCTAGAAAACTGCTAGTCATGACTTTAAAAGACTGAAGATGAAGGTGGGTGAGGGATTAGGAATGTGTGAAATAGCACTTTTACAGACATGGTCATTGTGGAGCTTTCGCTTGTTTTCCTTGATGGCTAGTGCTAAAGATGGGAAAACTGTCTAAAAGAAGAAAAGAGCAGTAATAAAGAATTAAAAGTAGAAAAATAATTCAGAAGAGTAGTTACAAACGGGGTAATTTTATTAGTATCTTGTTTAATACACCCTTTGGGAAAAAAAGAATTATACATAATAGAAGTTCACAATTTCATGATGATCTTTTTTTCTTTGTATATAGAAATATTTGCTCTAATAAGTTTATTATAAGAAAACGTGGGGGTGGGGAGTGGACTTGCTAGAGCATTTAAAAAAAAAAACAAAAAACCACAACATACAGTATGATCTGGCAGCCATACAGTCTGTGCCCTTCTGGAAGGCTGTATACCATCTGTATTTGGACCGGACTGGTCTGTTATCTCAAGTTCAAAATTAGAAAGGACCCACTTGTAGAAGATCAAACCATTAACAAAAGGAGATTTACTTAGCCTTCACTGGGAATGGATATTCAGTGAGGATCCAGCTATGATTCAGTTGAGCACAGCCTTTTTGACTCTGTGTTGCCTATTGGTAGATCATACCACTCAAGCCTGACGGAG